CGGGGGCAGGTCCCGGAGCGTGGGGGGGATTGGCAGAGGTTTGTCCTTGTGCAGAGCACCTGGAGCAGCCTGGGAGGAGGAGGGAGAGAAATTGTGCTTAGCACAGGCAGCCCAGGCAGAGGAGATAAACAGCAGGGAGTTTGGGGGTGGTTTATCTGTTGATATTAGTGCACCATCGCCAAGAATGTGGAGATATCTCTGCACCTTCTGCACAGGCCTGAGGAGATAACACAGGAACTACGTGCACTCCAGCCAGGCTCTGAACACCCTGGATTGTCGCCCTGATTTTTTAAGATTTTCTAAGCTTTCTGATGTTGACATTCTTGTAGGAAACTTTCTCACACACTTTTTGTAAATAACTCATTGTTTTGCATTACTTTATGGAAGAAGAGAAAGTTGATAGACTGCTGGTTTGTCCAGTGCCATTGGAGAGGTGGCACTGTCACCCTGCAATCCATTGTCACTCTTAGGAAACAATAAATGTTTAGAGTCAAAAAATAAACTTCACTTTTTTCTTCACCTTGAGAACAGCGGTGTGTGTTTGTGTTCTTTGGTGTCCTATAGTGACACCCAGATTCCTCTTCTTGAGGGAGAACATGAGCTTACAGCAGCCTTGGATTGGAATCCAAGCAGAGCCTCCCCATTATTTTAAAAAATCATTCAATTGTGGGTTCTTTGTACAAGTTAACATTCATTGGTCAGTGATGAGTATTTCCCTCTTCTTGAGGGAGAACATGAGCTTAAAGCAGCCTTGGATTGGAATCCAAACAGAGCTTCCCCATTATTTTAAAAATGATTCAATTGTGGGTTATTTGTACAAGTTAACATTCATTGGTCAGTGATGAGTATTCACAGAAATAGGAATTTTCTTCTGCCTGAACTTCCCTAATTTCATTATTTCATCTGAACCAGATGAAGAAATGCTGCTGCATCTCAAGAACCATTAACTTAATGCCACCAAGATCATCCTCCTGCCTTCTGCTGATCAATCAGAAAGCCAACTCATTTCTCCCAGTCACATACATTGAATTCCTTCCTTCATTTTCTATGTAAAAAATGCTTGATGGAGAAATGAGCGCAGAAAAGATGGGGGAGAGAAATATGATACTTTCTGTATCAGCTAGAACAAAATATGAGGAAAATGCAAAGGGTGCAGGGAGCAGGGATTGAGGAGGAAAACGGAGAATGTGACAGCAGTAATAATAATTTGGTAGCTCAGGATGCAGGACAGAAAAAGAAGAAAGATGTCAGAGAGAACACGCTGGGGTGCCCAGATTGCTGTGCCCCACTGAAGGGGGAGCTGGGTCTCACCTTGGACGCGGTGC